ATGCCATTTTATTCAGCTCAGTATTTGGAGTTTAAGCTGAGCTATTCTAGAAAGGATTTTAATTGGTTGGATGCATTTACTCTTTTTACTCATGCGTTTTCACGGGGTTTTAAATCTGTTTTTATGTTTTAATTGTATATCTATTCTATATTTTAATTTCATATTTGCTTTACTTTAATTGTTTTTCTGTTTTATTTGAATTAGCCATATTGAGTGCCTTTTTTGGCAGAAAGGCAATGAACAAATTTCATAAACAAACACACTTATTACACTGCAGAGGGAATGGGTCCACAAAGGCAAATGAATGTGACAGCAAGCAAGAATGGCATGCGGCAATGCTGCAGGCAGCCTGATGGTTCAGTGAAAAGACGGAACTCATAATGTTGGTATCTACAACTGTGGGTGCCTCAAACTAAATTCATCTGCTGTGTTGGAGATGTTCTCTAGTACTGAAAGAGTGGATGGGCTATAGCAGGATCAGAAACCCAAGCTCGCTCTGTTCACAGAAAAAGAATAAACCAAAGAGCCATAGGACTGGATAGGAAGATATGTGTATGATGAAATATTAGTGTTTCCCCAAAGAAACTCATGACACCCCCTGTTGCTTGATTTATGCATGTGGCTCCCGGATGTACATTCAGATTTCAGAAACAGGAAAAGATTTTTTTTTCTCCCGCTGCAAATGCCAGAATTCTTCAGACAGTTATAAGGAAGCTTATCCTGTTTCTGCCCAGTATTGATGGAGGCACAGCTCAGGGCTCCCACATTTAACTGTACTGCCCAATATCAGTTCCATGGCAGCCTACAACAGAGTGGTGAGAATAGTGGTGGTGGTGGTGCTGAGGCCAGAGGTACAATGCAAAGTTTCCTTTTCTAATGCCAAATGAGTGTTCCATCATGGAACCAGATGTGATGAGCAAAGAATAGGGTGCTGGTAATAAAAAGCCAAGGAGGATAATGTGCACAACATACTGTATATATTTGACAAGGGACATACTGTAGTGTACAGGAGTTTAAACAGCAGAGGTGTGCATCAGTGCTGGGAAAAAAACCTGTCAAACAAAGATGAAGCAGGAGTACTTGTACATTAACAGGACATATCCAGGGAAGCCCAAGAAGCCCCATATCACACGCAGGTCAGTTAGTGGGCTGCTACAAAATAGTGCTATGCTGTAAAGATGCTGAAACTTGAACAAAACTACTTGGCGACAGAAGAAGGTATCAACGCAGAAGGAGAATGACAGCTAAAGCCCCAATAAAACCCAAACCCTCTCCTGGGTACTCCCCAAATCAATCTCGCGGGACTCTAAATATTACACACCACTGACTATACAACTGTTTTGCATCCGGGCACGGCAAAGCACTTCTTGGACTGGCTGCATTCTAAAATTATATTGCATTTGGTTTTGCTTTTTGAAAGCCACGTTGAGGCTTCACTCCCTCCTCAGCTAAGCCCTGCTCATGCTGGCTAGGGAAATATGGGAACCTGAGTCAAGAAAAGAATTTTCTCAAGCTGTGCTTGTGGTTTACTGAAAATAACAGCAATGAGGTCCACCCCATGCATTGACTCCTAGAAATTTGCCAACACTAGCTGTACAGTAGGACCCCATTTTATTTATATATATAAATATTGCAATATTACCTGTTTGCTAGACTCCAAATCCAGAGCCAGGTTACAGAAAAGCATATGACATACGTAAAATGCCCAAGGAAAAACAAGACATAAGACAGTTCATTAAAGCTTTTATGCAAGGTAAATCTAAAACTTTTAAGATAGACCCAGAGGAAGTTGAGAAATTGTTTGTCACAAGTGTTTGCATGGTTCAGTTCCTCCTGTCTTTTCAAGTAAGTCCAAGATATAATCTGCTCTCTGGGTTCATTATATATTTGCTTCAAACTAGGTTTCAAAATGTGTTCTTTCTTACTAATGAGTAGGTGACCTTGGAGAGGTTGTTCTATTTTTGATTCAGCTGCACCGTACTGTATTCATGATGGATAGTTGCTGAAAAACTTTCACTTCAGGAAATTTTAAACCCCTATCACCAATTACGTTTGTCAGTATAGTATTATATTATATCAGACTCAAACAAAACTTCCTTACTTTTGTGTGTGTGTGCTTTAACTTTGATGGCTACATATTTTAGAAACTTCTGTTTGTCACTTGACAAGTTGACTGCTTCTAAATGAAGCCACAAGGCCATGATGTTCTAGTCTCCTTTTAAATGGATAGCTGTGGATCTTTATTTTCTAAATTTAGTTTACTACTACATCACTGTTATTCTATAACAGATGTTATGCTTCTGTTTTAAGTAGCTGCATTTTATATTTAATTGTTTTTTATTTTATTTTGTAAACCTGCCTGAAGAAGTTTTAAGAAACATTATAAAACATACTTGAAAACCACTATAAAAATACCACACATAAATAAACAAACTTAGAGGTGCGTAGGCTAACACAAATGGGTAGGTGCTCACACCACTAGGGTATGTTTATTGGCTATATGGGTTCTACTTCCAGCAAAGCTGAGATTCACTAGTTAAACCTCAATTGTTCATCAGGTAATACTGAGCACAGCTATTACATGTACTTGTTACAGGTGGAATATACTTAAGGACCGAGGCTGACACTGAAAAGAGTCATTACAGCAAGGATGTAATATGTATTTAATTTAATTTTATTTTATTAGATTTATACCCCACCCATCTAGACCAAAGGTCTACTCTGGGCAGCACTACAAATTTAAAAACATGATACAGTGATTATTTTCAGTAATACACAATAGGGATATTTTAAGAATATCTTTGTTGGTTCCCCAACTGCAAAGGTTTCTAGTTCCACAAAGTAGCTTTCTTTTGTTTTGCCACTGGGAAATAAACACCAATTTCATTTGCCAGTTGACTGCACAGACACAGCAACTTTGAACAAGTGCTGGGTCTCTGGAAGGAAAATGTTTCACCACCTTTTTATGAGGAAGCTAGCTTCTTGTTTGCTGTGACCTGGAGTCTAAATACTAGGATACTCTCCCTTAAGGATATAAGCAGAAACCAGAAACCAACTACATGGCACATTCTATGTAAATAGTTTAACCATATCAGGTGGTCAACCTGCATTCCCCCTCTCCCTTAGTTCAATAACATTTAGTGGTTATGATTTTTTTTTGTCAGAACCTCAGTCCAACAGAGCTAATTCCCTTCTCCCGCAAGTATGCAATTTAAATTATTACCATGACAAATTCAATGTCTTCTTGCACTATCAATATTCCCAGTTTAGACTTGCACAGGGAAATCTAAGAATTTGTAAATACAGCCAGATCCACTTCACTGTGTGTTCAGCATCCAGGAAAAAGACAGTGGCCTAGAGACCACTGAGTACCTCACCAGAGATCTCCCCAGGTTACAGTTCTAGGTCTTTATGCTATTATTACACATCAACGACACCTCTTTGATCTTGCCTGTGCTCTTTCTATCATATTGGTGCAGTAATGCGATTTGCACCACTGGGATTTGTACTTTGGCTTGCACTCTTGTAAAGCAGTTTCTCTGAACAATCCCACAGAGTCTCAAGCTGCCAGTCTTTCCCTGGCAAGCCTCTCTGGTAAAGGCAGAATCAGTGAGCATAGCAATGAGCGAACATGAGGCAAAATAATTTTAATGTGTACATATGTGGGGAAGCTGCCAGCTAGGGCAAGGCAACTCAATTTGTGACTGTTGGCCATTCTTTCCAAAGGAGCTGTTTTGTTTCTTGGCTCGTTCTGGCCTTAGGTTCTGCAGAAAGCCACACAGGGCTGCACTGGAAGCTCACTCTGTAATCACATCTAGCTCCCCATGCTAAGTGGTGCTAGGCAGCTGGAGGCATTCAACTAATTTTTCCAGCAACTGCACTGACTTCTTATTTCTGCCAGATCAAGTTCAATATAAGGCGTTTTATCAATAAAGCTCTAAATGACTTCAGTTTGGGCATTTTCAGCGACTGCACATTCTGGCAAGCTGCTGACAATAGCCTTGGGGAAAGTGCACGATTCGCAGTGTCTAAGTATGTCTCGATGGTAGGAGGCCGATAATTCCATTGCTTCTAGAAAGACAGAGCAACATTTTGCACAGTGACAGCCCCAAATGACACATTTCTTTTGAATAGCAACAAAGGTATGCCCCATAGACACTCTGTTCCTTGAAGGTTCAGGCATTAGCATAGATTTTTAAGAGAATGTTTTTCACTTTGATGATGAAAAGCCCTTTCACCGAGAATCTATTGCATGCATTAGAATAAAATCACAGATGATAAAATTGTCATCTCTTGCATAGTTCGTCTGCTGAAATTTCCCTGCCACATCTGGACAAGACTGGTGAGGACTGCCAGGTCCTTTGCATGGAATTCTTGCTACTGTAGAAAAAACCTCTTTGCTCCATGATCAGAACTTAATGCCACAGCAATGATATATATCAACAACAATCATGAGCCTCATCTGAATTGAGAAATAGCTGAACTCTACTAGATTCCTTCCAATGTTAGTACCACAACTACTGGGGCTAATTCTACTCTCAGCTTCGACCCTTTCTGTTTGGAATGCTCATACAAACACACAAGACAGTTCAAATCATCCCCTCTGCTTTCTCTTGGTATGGTTTGGAGGATGGCGGCAGAACCGTTCAAATATAAGATATTTTGCTGCCCAATAAATGAAGCAATAAATGGTACTCACTCGTACGTTAACATGCATACTTTCCCCTAAATAGCTGAATGATTTTAACACGTAAGCCACAAAATTCCATAAGCAGACTTCCCTGACTCCGTTCAGTAAAAATACAAACATAACAGATTAAATAACCATTAATTTGTTACATTGCAGGATATTCAAAATCTGCTGACTGAGGCAGTTGCATCGCCCTGTCTCATGGCAGAGCTGGCCCTCGCAAAAAGCCTTCATCCACGAATGTAGAAACGGGTGCTGAATGATACCTTGGAGGATCCAGCGCACTTCTGATACCTTTGGCATAACTCACCAGTGCTGCTTTGGATGGTTCTCACAGTAGTGGTTGTGCGTGGTGGAGATGAGGACCTCAGTGACAAGCATTCATCATCTTGGGAACAGCCCTTTTCAATTGCTCTCACGTAGCTGTGGCTTCTCATGCGGAAGCAGCCCGGCATTGGTAAATCCAGAGCCTCCACTGCTTGAGACTCCAGTTCACTGAATACTGATTCGCAGACTGATTCAAACTGACCGTTCACTTCCATCTCGCTCACCTGCAGGCAAAGGGCAGGCAAATTAATTATATCCAGTGGACCTGCCTAGCTTGACTTACCATTTAACACCGAAGAGAACAGCAACCTACATTCCCGTTACAAAGACTCATTAAAAAGATACAAAGTTTTTTTTAATCATCTCATATTCTCATAAATGATGTGAACCTTCAACGTATATAATGAAACACTTGCATGCTCCAGCTCAAATAAATATTACCTTACATTTATTTAAAATTCTCTAGAACTTGATGGAAAGTGTTCATATTAATGTCAATAGATCTATCTTGGCAAAAGTAGCAAACAATGAGCTTAATTATGCAAAGTTACTGTTTAGTCCCAGCTTTTAAAGCCATATGCCAGCATGGGTGTCAAAGTTAATTAAATTAGAAAGATAATTTTGAAACCTAGCTCATAGAAAGTAAAATCCTAGATATCATATTTTGGAAAGTAGAAGAAAAATTGTGCCTTTATATATTTATATGTTTAAACTTTTTTGAAACAGGTTTTTAAAGCCAGCTCATCCAAAAGGAGAAACATTATGAAGTTTCTGAAGATATCAAAAGGCACACTCGGTTCCATTAAATCACTTGACACAGAAGCATATGAATCAATTACATGTGCGTAATAAAAATGAGAATTAGTACATGAAATTTCTGGTGGGAGAGGAGTAGATTGAAAGAAAGATGACAGTGTACATAGTGGGAAAGTGGAACTCATTCTACATTTTAATCAGTTATTATATTTGCATATAGTATCTCCAACATAATGTTTTTAAACTTCATAGCAATATGCTAAATGAAAATGGAAAAATTTGCTCTTTTAGATTGCACCTCACAAAATACCACAGCCACCATTGCTACTGGCTATGGAGACTGATGAATTCTAGAAGTTATAGTACAAAAATAATTTTTTCCTCTGCTCTGGTTTGAGGGATAATACTTTTGGAGGGAAACCACATTATCAATTTTTATTTACAAAGCCCAGTGACTTGTACAGATTGGAACACTCCTCTTGTATATTTCTGTGTAACAGTAGGGGAATTGGATGGAGTTGTGTCTGCTTCTGGTGAACAGGCACACATTCTCTCCAATATCTCTCTTGGTGCTCATTGCTTACCATCACGAGAGGATCCCAAACTCTTGCCCAGACTTATGAGTGAACGCGCAAAACCTCTAGGTAGGTTATAAGCACAGCTTAGAAACATTATTTTTCTTTCCTTTTTCTATAATTGTCAGAATCTCTCTTCCATGGGGAGTTTTGAAAGCTGCAGCTCAAAAATATAATGTTTCTAAATTTTGCTTATATGTTGCCAACCATTGCTGGTGATGACACAAAGGACTACTGAAAAATGAAGTTTCAAGTCAGAGGTAAGGCTGTCAGATTGGTTATATTCAAAGAGCAAACGGAAGTCAACCATTTAATGACCACCTGTGTTACAGTGCTCCGAAAGCAAGGATGGTAACCTTACCACCTGTCCTAAAGGCCCTACAGATTCAACTCTGGGCTGTAGTTTAGCAGGAGAAACGCCTACTCTGCATGAACACAGAAGAATCCATGCATTATTAGGCTCCTTAAATAAAAGCCTTTCTTTCTGTGTAGCTGCTTTGTGCCAGCTGGCTTTCAAACTTCTGTCTTCCACTCTAGCTGTGGGTGTACTGGTGAAGTAGGGATGAATTCACTTATTACTGCCAACCATGTGTCAGCCTAACTATATAGAGAAAAGGTCTTGATGATAAGGTTATATACATATAATTTGATTCATCCTCTCCTCAGCTTTTGAAATGAGAGAACTTGCCTTGCCAAGTCTTTCTTTCCAGTCATAGGGGTGGAAATACATTTGTTTTCTTTAAAATGGAAGTACAGTAAATTGATATGACTTTAGCTGCTTTAAGAAAAAAAATACACAAAATAGTACAAGAGTTACACATGAAGTCACAAAAGAGACAACTGTATACACAGCTTTTGATAACCAAAGATTCCTTATATTCTACTGATTGGTGTTGCAAATGCAGTGCCATTAGACTTAGTTTTCAAATGGCATCATTAAAAAAAAATCATAATGATTATGTAGAGCCCCCCTCTCCACTTTTCACACACCACACTGAGATAGGAAAAAACACAAAACCATTCAGATATATACATAAAACAGTCAAGAAACAGAAATTTTTCAACCAGTGTGGTCAAATCAATAACACAGCTTGTAAACAGATATATTTCTGGGTAATGACTAAAAAACACTAGGTACTACATTTAGACTAAGTAATAACAGAATTAATAGAAAGACAACATTTACAAATCTATGCTCTGTATAATGTTGTATTTTGGGAAGGGATGGGGAAAGTTTTATTTTTGGACTATGACTCCCATTATACCACAGTCAGCATGGTTTGTGCTATTTGGATATATTGGTTGGGGGCATTCTGGCAATTGCAAACCAAAAAAAAACGTAAATTTCCTCATCTGCGCCTCGTGGCGCAGTGGTTAAAATGCTGTACTGCAGCTAAAACTGTGCTCACGACCTGGGGTTCAAATCCCAGGTAGCCGGCTCAAGGTTGACTCAGCCTTCTATCCTTCCGAGGTCGGTAATATGAGTACCCAGCTTGCTGGGGGGGGGGCAAGGTGTAGCCTGTATAATTAAATTGTAAACCACCTGGAGAGTGCTTGAAGCACTATGGGGCGGTATATAACTCCAAAAATAAATAAATAAAATAAATAAATCTGTGATTTTGGGAGCTAGGCTACTGATCTTTCATGCTCTCTAGCATACTCAGTGAAAATGACTAGGTATGGAGTAAGGTCTATTGTTTTAGACTTAGACACTTACATTTGGTGGATAATTTTCTCAACAAGGAGAAAATCCTACATTTTGCCAGATCACAGAATAATTGGTGTGTGTGTGTGTGTGTGTGTGTGTGTGTGTGTAGAGAGAGAGAGAGAGAGAGAGAGATACTTCATTGGAAAGAATGACTGAAAAGAAGACCCCATTTGCATTAAAAAAAATTAAATAAAAAATACTATGCAGATAGAGGAAACAGTGGCCAGTTGGCCTGTGTGACTGCTGACAATGTCTGGGTGTTTACAGTGGATGAGCAATCTCAAATCCCATATTTCCCTCCTTATGGTTCTTTGTTTTTCAATTGTAATTGGATTCAATAGGAGGACTGTACTTTAGTAGCCCTTAGAATGGAGGACTGTTCTCCCAAAAAGATGACACATGGCCAGCCTAGATATGCTAGAAGTAAAATAATCTGTCCGAATTATCCTTTCCTTCTTCTTGTAGAACAGATCTTTCTATATATGCCCAAATGACATAAGATACATTTCTGGGCACCAATGCTTCCCAACCATGGGTGGCCAGATGTTCTTGGACTACAGCTCCCAGAAATCCTGGCTGGCACAGCTACCATGTTTTCCCGAAAAAAAGACTAATTTTTGCTCAACCCCCCCCCCCAAAAAAAACCACAAAACACACACATATACACACACAATGCATTAGGGTTTATTTTCAGGAGATTTTTTTTCATGTACCACTATCTACATTTATTGAAATATGGTTGTGTCATCTTCTGGTTGCTGAACAATGGTGGAGGGCGGGGTTTCACTTAACTGGGGCTTACTTTTGGGGTAGAGATATTATGCGCATCTTGAAATATTATACTAAGGCTTATTTTCAGGTTAGGTCTTATTTTTGGGAAAACAGGGTAGTGATGAAGGCTTCTGGGAGTTTTACTCCAAAAACATCTGGGAACACACTTGGGAATCACTGGGTTAGAGTATCAATAAAGAATACTCTATAGTTGGTTCATCACTTTAGAATACAGGCATCACTCATATTCTTGGCACAAAGGTTTTCATATTTAAAACATTTTTCACATAGGACCTATTCTTGCAAGACATCCACTAGAAGCTGGTAACAGACTATCGTACGTTTGTTGTGTCTTGCCTAGCTCAACTGCTGCAACTCCGCTCCCCATCTTAAGATTCTTGGAGTTGAACAATGTGCCTCATTATATGCCCAACATGCCATTGCTCTCTCCCCTTCCACATGTGTGAGGTTTCAAAAAAACCTCAAATGTTCTCCTCCTCTCTCCTCATATTCCACCCTGATCAAGAAGCCTTTTCTAGCCTCCGTATGGGAATGTGCATGAATTTAAAGTGAAAATCAAGCGAGGAGAGGAGAAACTGGAGCTCTCCTCTCACACGTGGTGCCCAACCTGGATATAAGCCACTGTGCATGTATTAAAAGGGAATATAATTGTTTTTATTTAAGAACAATGCAAGAACCTGTTTATTAGATACTTTTGATACCCATCAGAACCACAGGACATTCACCTTGACAGTCCCCCCCCCCCCC